CGTGATACAGCGAAAAATTCATGATTTTTTTTTTTTTTAGTACAGGGTGTACAGGGTCTCACTACGCAAATTGAACTCATAGTGATTCTCCTGTTTTCAGCCTCCAAAGTGCTGGGATTACAGGTGCGTGCCACCACACCCAGTCTCAAGATTAGTATTTTTTGAATACCCACAAAAATGAGTATGCAAACCCCAAACCACAAAATAGCGAGGGACTACTGTAATGACTGGAAAGGAAGAAGGGAAATTATCATTATTTGCAGATGACACGAAGACACCAAAAACTCCACCAAGAGACTTGTAGATATAATAGCCAAATTCAGTAGGGTAGCAGGATACAAAATCAATACTCAAAAAACAACAGCATTTTGGTAAACAAACAACAAATGCACCAAGAGAGAAGTTAAAGAAGCCACACCTTTCACTTGCAGGGGTGTGCACTCACCAGGGAAGTAAAGAGAGCAGGAAATGGTGAAGAAGAGGAAAGCTAAGCGAGCATGTGCTCTTGGCTGGAAATGAACTGCAGGGCAATCACAGGGGCATCCAGAAGCACAAATCTCCACGACAGAACTGCAACATCTTTGGGTGCCATTAGCAGTTCGATGTTCACAGGTGGGGAAATGGGCATTCTGGGCTGGTACAGGAAAACTTGTCTGGTACCAAGATTAACCATTCCTGTAACAATGTTTAAATGCCCAACCTGCCCACCTAATGAGGATTTACTGAATTAAATATTAGATTTTTTTTTTTTTTTTTTGCTCCAAATGCCTTCAGGGCAAGTTTGGCTGGCTTGAGTTGTGGGGATCGAACCACAGCAACCTGAGCCTGACTGCTCTGTGGAAGCAGCCACTTAAAGAACTAAGCTAAGGGGCAGGCCCCCTGAATTAAATATTAGAGAAACTAAAAACTGCAATTACAATTCTTGATCTATTCACAATTTGAATGACTACTAAGTATGTCCTATTCAAGACGGAAAAGAGCACCTTGCATGGTATGCATGCTACAAAAACAGAAAGATCAGAGGGGCAAACAAATGAGAAGAAAAACAGGTAGGACACAGACCAGGTAGAAACTTAAAAAGCCATAATAAGCTTGTATTTTCAGAAGTATAATAGCAAGACATACAGGCATTTAAGAAACAGTTAACCATTCTGGTTTATATTTTATACAGTTGGTTAGCTAAGATGCCGTCCTCATGCAAACATATATTATTCTATGCACCTATAAATATAGTACAATTTATTAATCCAAATACTGGTCCTACCATTCGAAGATCTGGATCTAAGACAGTGTGATTGTAGGAGAGAAGATCTTTGAGCTCTTGAGGAAAGTTACTCAGATGTTCTGGATAACAGTGGCCAATCTGT